TACTCAGGCTGGAGTGCAATGGCGCGATCTCTGCTAACCACAACTTCCGCCTCCCAGGTTCAAGTGATTCTCCTGCCTCAGGCTCCTGAGTAGCTGAAATTACAGGCATGCGCCACCACACCCGGCTAATTTTGTATTTTTAGTAGAAACGGGGTTTCTCCATGTTGATCATGGCTGGTTCGAACCCCGAACGTCCTGATCCGCCCGCCTCGGCCTCCCAAAGTGCTGGGATTACAGGCATGAGCCAGCGGGCCAGTCTCCTCCTCTTCCTCCTCCAGACAGAGCGAGACTCCATCTCAAAAAACAAACAAACAAACAAACAAAACAAACAAACAAAAACACGATTCTCTGACTATTTGGGAGGCAGGGAAATTAGAGAGGAGACCGCTACAAAATCCAGCAAGAGAGGCTGAGGGGTTGTCAGTGGGATGGGGAAGGACGATTGACAGGGGGATAATTGAGGAAATAGAATTGACAGGATGTGGTGACTGGAAGTAAGACGGAAGGGGGAGGGAAGAATCAAGGATGCATCCCCCAGCCTGGGCCTGGCCACTCTCTGGGAGTGCAGAAAGACGGGAAGGAAGTATGGCAGGGTCAAGTGAAGGTATCAGGAGGCACTACACATCAGAGTCCAGAGGTGGGAGCGAGATTCAGGAGCCCTCAGCACGCAGGAAATAGCTGAATCCGTGGAACATGTGTAGCATGAGAGAAAACCTTACCCGAGGAAAACCAGGATTTACAGGGAGAACAGAAAAATGAGACTGGAGATGGGCGAGGTGGCTCAAGCCTGTAATCCCAGCACTTTGGGAGGCCAAGGCGGGTGGATCATCTGAGGTCAGGAGTTCAAGACTAGTCTCTCCAACTTGGTGAAACCCCGTCTCTACTAAAAAAAAAAAAAAAAAGAAAGAAAAAAAAAATTAAACTAGCCGGCACCACGCCTGTAATCCCAGCTAGCTACTCGGAGGTTGAGGAAAGAAAATCGCTTGAACCTGGGAGGTGGAAGTTGCCCCGAGCCAAGAATGCGCCATAGCACTCCAGCCTGGGCGACAGACTGAGACTCCGTTTCAAAAAAATTTTAAAAAGAAAAAGAGACTGGAGCCATTTAGGAAGGGCCAGCAAACTAGTGTCAAGACAACCATGGGAAATGAGGCTCATGGAGAAGACGTTGCCTGGAGTCGGTTAAGGTCAGGCCTGAGAATGCCTGTGGGCGTTGACATCTCTGTGGTCCCTGATAACTTTCGAAAGAGCCACTGTGTAGAAATTTGGCTTGGATGGGAAGGAATGAGATACAGGCATGACCTCTTGTGGTATCTCAGCCTGTTGAACTCCTTTCATTGTTCAAGAAACATAGGCGGGCGAGGTGGTTCACGCCTGTAATCCCAGCACTTTGCGGGGCTGAGGCGGGCGGATCACGAGGTCAGGAGTTGAAGACCGGCCTGGCCAACATGGTGAAACCCTATCTCCACTAAAAATACAAAAATTATAGCCGGGCGCGGTGGCGGGCGCCTGTAATCCTAGCTACTTGGGAGGCTGAGGCAGAGTTGCTTGAATCCGGGAAGCGGAGGTTGCAGTGAGCCGAGGTCGCGCCGCTGCACTCCAACCTGGACGACAGAGAAAGACTCCGTCGCAGAAGGAAGGAAGGAAGGGAGAAAGAGAGGGAGGGTGGGAAAGAAAGGGAGGAAGGGAGGGAGGAAGGGAGGGAGGAAGGGAGGAAGGGAGGGAGGGAGGGAAGGGAGAGAAGGAAGGAGAGAGAAAGAAGAGAGAGAGAGAAAAAACAATTGAGACCTCTTTCAGCTGCATCGCAGAAAGAAAGAAAGAGAAAGAAGGAAAAGAAAGAAAAGAAAAGAAAAGAAAAGAAAAGAAAAGAAAAGAAAAAACAATTGGGGCCTCTTTCAGCTCCAGGTGTCTCCCTTCAGAAGTTCCCAATTTTGTCTCACCCGGGGAGCTTAAAAAAAATGCGGATGTTGGCGGGGCATGGTGGCTCACGCCTGTAATCCCAGCACTATGGGAGGCCGAGCCGGGGGATCACCTGACATCGGGAGTTCGAGACCAGCCTGACCAACATGGAGAAACCCCGTCTGTACTAAAAATACAAAATTAGCCGGGCGTGGTGGTGCATGCCTGTAATCCCAGCTACTCGCGAGACTGAGGCAGGAGAATCCCTTGAACCTGGGAGGCGGAGGTTGCGGTGAGCCGAGATTGCGCCATTGCACTCCAGCCTGGGAAACAAGAGCGAAATTCCGTCTCAAAAAAAAAAAAAAAAAAAAAAAAATACTGATGTTTGTGGTGGTCAAAATTAGAACAGAGATTGCCTCTGGGAAGGGAGTGGGGATCCGTAGAGAAGGGACATGTAAGAACCTTGAGCAAGGGAAATGTCCTATATGTTTTTAAAGAGTTGTGATTTGCGCAGGTGTATGTATTTGTCAAAACTCATAAAATTATAGACAATATTTATGTGCCCTCAAACAGCTGAAATACCGATATTTTTCAAAAGTTTTACAACTCGATGCCAGAGCTCTTCCCTGGACCGTTTAAATCAGAACCTCCGAACCCGGGGGTTGTGCATGGGTACATTCAAAGGCTCCGCAGACGATTGTAAAAGTGCAGCAGGGGAGGAGACGCGCTGCTGGGGGAGCAAGTCTCTCACCCCTTCAGGTGCCCTAGGCTCTGGCACTGCTCCATCACTTTCCTTCTGGTTCAAATCCTTCCATCTGTTTCTAGGCAGGTCGACCCGGGCTGGGCTGTAAGTAGCTCGGGACTCTCTATCTGGGCGTTGGCAGGACGCTGGGGGCCAGGAGGGACAGACCGCTGAGCCTGGATTCCATAGTCACTGCCCTGGGGTGCCACCCGCCCGACTTGCCCTACAGGGCCGCTCGGCGAGCGCAGATACGATCCCGCAGCTGTTTTGAGGGACAGGAAAGCCCTAGGTGCCCATTCATGCCTCGATCAATGACCCCGGCCTCCTGGGGGCACAGTGGTCATGGGGAGAACTGAGCTGCCGAATGGCCGGCCGACCTCGTGGCGCAACGGTAGCGCGTCTGACTCCAGATCAGAAGGTTGCGTGTTCAAATCACGTCGGGGTCAGCGAATGCTTTTCTTCCACTTTTATTAACTCCCCTTAATTTAAACTACGGTCGAGCGTCAGCGTTCAGGTCATTGAAGAATCAATATCCTCTTGGGTCCTGAAGGGGAGGGGTTTCTGGCACGAATTTCCGAGGCCACCCCGTCTGGGCAGCCCAACCTTCTCGCGGGGGTTTTTGCGATGGATCCGGGTACCATAATTCTGGGCGGATAACGCGCCTCCTCAGGACAGGAGCAGTTCTAGACCTCTCAGCAGAGGGAGGAGGTTCGGACGATCACGCATGGGAGAAATCGGTCTACGATCTGTGAGTCCTCTTTCCAGTGCTGAGCTGGTTCCTTCAAAATGCGCAGCCTTCGCGACAGAGGCGAACCCCACTTGCGGGAAGTTCAGGTCCCAGAGATGTGAGATGCGGAGGGCTGTCTGTACACTGTGAACTATCCGAAGACGAGGTGGCCGAGTGGTTAAGGCGATGGACTGCTAATCCATTGTGCTCTGCACGCGTGGGTTCGAATCCCATCCTCGTCGGCTACGGAAGCCTTGTGGTCTGAGCTCCAGTTTTGTAATACCAAACTAGGATTTCTATTGTTACTCCGAGTCACTCCATTCGGTTTTCGTGTCTTTCCCAGCTGCTTCCATCCTTTCCGCATTTTCCAAGACGGCCGACTTTTTGTGACAGTTTTGTGTTCATGCTCTGCAATTGAGCTGACCTGGCCAAGGAAATAAGATCCCAGCCGGCCTTCCGGCGGCGCCGTGGCTTAGTTGGTTAAAGCGCCTGTCTAGTAAACAGGAGATCCTGGGTTCGAATCCCAGCGGTGCCTAAGTGTTTCCCCACGCTTTTGCCAACATTAAACATTGCGAGGAGAGTTGCAGAGCCTCATAACTTCCAGCCTGTATGGTTTATTCACATAATCATCTGTCTTCTCTCGGTGCATCTGCGACACGCTGTTGGGAATTTTGCTCTTCGTGCACAGTGTACTTGCGCCTCGACCTGCAACTATCCCAGTCGCATCATCTGTACTTGCCAGTACTGTGACTTCTTACTCGTCTAGGTGCTCAGTCAGTTTTTGTACTCTGTTTTCATTTCTGACAAAGAAGTCCCACAACTAAAGGTTCATCACGAGAGGACTGAACAGTATTGTAACTAAATAACTTTATTTCAAAGAGTTCTTAACAACTGGCCGGTTAGCTCAGTTGGTTAGAGCGTGGTGCTAATAACGCCAAGGTCGCGGGTTCGATCCCCGTACGGGCCATAGTTGAAACTTTTCAAAAGCGGTATTCCGCAGTCTGTTTTAGAGCCAAACAACATCGCTGGTGAACACCAGCGAAACATTTCCAATCCCAGAAGAGGAAGTGTTTTGGAGCACATTCTAAATGTGGGTGTGTCTTGAGAGGAAGGGTTTGAGAGAAACCCGGGTTGTTTCATGATCTATGCTTCTGCATCTTAATGGCCATAATATATGGCTCCTGAACTTACTGTATGAATTGTAAACAAAAGGCTTTGGGACTAATTTGTCTCAAACCACGTGACACTGATCTGCAGAGTGTGGGAATGGTCAGGAATGGAGCTGACAAGTGTTCCCAGTCTTCCTCCAGAGGTAAGATGTCCGTCCAATCCACCCAGTCCCTGCCTATTCATCAGGACCTGAGAAGACAATTTCTTCCCCTTCTCTTCTAGAGCACTTTGTTTTTACGTTTCTGTGGTTACTGGATCTCTGGGCCCCTGTGAGTGATGATCTGTGTCCTCACATTTCCCCTCAGACCAGATGCTTGAGAGCAGGAACCATATCCTTCCCCACGGAGCCTGAGACACCCCCACCCCCACCCCACTTCCAGCACCAGCCCCAAGGGAGCTGCGTGAACAACACCGACCCTTATTCCCATTGCTTTGGCTTATTAATCACTGCAACCCCACACAGACTCAGCCTCAGCCTTCGCAGCAGCAGCACTTTAATTCCACAAAATCTCAGAAAGCCAAAACTGATGAGAACACTCCACAACAGGTGGGCTTCAAAACCAGCAACATTCTACCTGAACCCTGAGAGCAGTGAGACGCCTCCCACCTCACCCACCTCCGCCGTGCAACCCATTCCTCCTAGCTGCACCCCGGTTCTGGCTGGGGAAGTGGTATGGTAGAGGGCCAGAGGGCAGAAGCAGAAGGCTATCCATCCGCAGGGGTGCATCCTTGCCTGCGGTGTGTTTGGCCAAGGACGGCTCAAGCTCCCACAGCCCCTGGCACCTGAGATGTGGCCACTGAAGTCAGGATAGCCACAGTGGGGGCTGGGGCTTCCTCTGTCCCTTTCTCCTGATTACATGTGGGAGTCACGTCCTCACCTTGAAGCAGACCTAAAGCCCTGTGTTCCCAGGGCTGGTGCTCTAGCTAGGGAGGAGAGTTGGGAAGAACAGGGTAGCTACAGATGGCCAACTGTATAAAAGCAGAGCAACATCCCTTCCCACCAGGAAAGCCGTTACAACTTCCCCATATACACCAGCCTAAGGCCCAGCGAGTGGGCGCGGGCCAGCTGAACGCATCTGGAAGAGCCTCCAACACACAGGCTTCCCCTCAGTGGGCACTTCCCACCAGGACTCCCTGAAGAGTCCTTAGGGTCCTGCTGGGCCCTGCCCTGGCCAGGCCCGGCCTCTCCTGTCCTCCTGGTCACTTGCACAGGGCCTCCAACACCTCCAGAGTACGTCGGATATCCCGGACTTGGCGAGCCAGCCCCTGAACCGGCTGCAGAGCCCGCTCCAGCTCCTCGCAGCGCGCCAGCAGGGTGTACATGCCCTTGATGCTCATGTCCACGGCTTCACCTAAGGAGTCCACAGCGTCGCGGTAGGTCTGGATGCAGCCCACGCTCAGCGCCGTCAGCTCCTGCACCGCGCCACCCAGACCGCGAAGCAGACGGTCCACCCGGCCTCCCAGCTCCCGACTCAACCGCTCCAGATCCCGCAGCACCTCGGGGTCGATGGGGGGAATGGCTGGTGTGGGTGTGGGTGCAGGCGCTGGGCAGGGCCGCGCAGGGGCAGAAGGCGGGGGTGGAGGGGCGCCGCTCAGACGGATCTTGAGTTGCAGGTTGTTGGCGACAAAGTGGGTGAGGTCGCCGTGGCGGCTCACTGTGCCCTCGAGCTCCAGGGGACTGGAGATGGTGGCGCGGCGTCCGCCGCCCGCGCCGGACTCGGCACTCCCTGAGGACCCGGCGCCACCGCACGCCTCGCTCAGCCCGTCCAGGCTGCGGCTGTCCTGAAGGCGGCTGGAGAACGAGCGGCTGGCTCTGCCGCCCGCGGCCGCCTCCTCTTCGTTGTCTTCTTCCTCCTGCTGCTCAACATCCATCCCGCCGCCTGGTCCCCCTCGACGGCAGTCCCTCCCGGAGGCGGGCTTGCCCTCGGGCGGCGCTGGGTCCTTGTGCCGGAAGGACGGGGACGGTTCGTGCTCTGCACCCGGCGCCCCACTGAGGCTCCCGGCCCCAGACGGCGTCCCTTGAGGGCCGGGCTCTTTCTCGAGAGCCTCCCGTTCCGGCCGGTGGACGACGCCGCAGCTTGACGTCTTCGGGGACGTCCTGGGGTGGCGGTTCGCGCCCCCAACGTTCTCGGCCTCTTCCTCCCCGGACACCCGGAGGCCTGAGGGCGGCTCAGAGGACGTTCGGCCCGGTCCGCCGCCGAAGATTGCGGCCTGCTGTTCCGCTACAGCCAGAAGGTCCGTCTCGGGCCCGGGCCGCCCCCGAGACGACTCCATACTGCAGGTGGGGGCCGCAACCGAGGAATTGGTTCGCCCCGGCTCCGGAGGCGGTGGCTGCGCCTTTAAGGGGCGTTGGTAGAGGCGCGCCGATTGGCAGCGGCTGACAATGGTAAGGACAGGAAAAGCATTTTGATTGGTCGTGGCGACCAGGAAGTCCCGGAAGAAGAGCTGTTACTGCACAGCGGAACACACGTGAACGCCGGCTGGGTGGAGAGAAGGAGGTGACAGCTGCTCCCGTCACCCCGCCCTTTCTGAAAGCTGATGGGCCAGATCTTAAAGACCAAGATCCTCAAATTTCTGAGTCCCGCGGGGTGGGGCTTAGATTTTTTCTGCCTGCAATTGTACCCCCCCACAGTGATTGCTTAGCAAAAACACCAAGTGGGGAGCCCACTTGGGGTTCCTAGAGAGGTTCTTAGGATGGAAATGACATGTCCTGCTTGGACCATCGGGGTTGAACCTACTTAACTAAGAAGGAGGAAACCAGAAGTCCAGCATGAGCGTGAATGGTTTGCTTTATCTTTCTTGGTTAACAGACCTAACCATTGAACTGCTCAGAGCGATCCATTGTGGTCAAGGCAGCGGCCTCTGGACTTTCCTATGCTTTTGCCACTCGTGTTCTGTGTCTCTTGCCCCTTTCACATTGAGGGGTCTCGCCCCTTGGAAGATGGCGTGTGATTTTGCCACGAGGTAAAATATTCAACAAATGAAATGATCACAAATTTTGATATGTACTATACAGGAAATAAAGTGTTATGATTGAGAATATAACTGAGGCCGGGCGCGGTGGCTCAAGCCTGTAATCCCAGCAGTTTGGGAGGCCAAGACGGGCAGATCACGAGGTCAGAAGATCGAGACCACTGGCTAACACGGTGAAACCCCGTCTCTACTAAAAAATACAAAAATCTAGCCGGGCGAGGTGGCGGGCGCCTGTAGTCCCAGCTACTTGGGAGGCTGAGGCAGGAGAATGGCGTGAACCCGGGAGGCGGAGCTTGCAGTGAGCTGAGATCCGGCCACAGCACTCCAGCCTGGGCGACAGAGCGAGACTCCGTCTCAAACAAAACAAAACAAAACAAAGCAAAACAAAAAAAAGGAGAATATAACTGAGTAGGCACTAGTTTACGTACGGGGTCAGGAAAAGACCTCTTCGGTGGGACTTTTAACTAAAAAGAACCAAAAAGACCCAGCCACCCTCCAGGCAGAGGGAAGAAAACTTGAGCTACCTCTCAGAGACAAAGAAGTCTTGACGTATTCAAGAAACTGAGATGAGAGGGCAGGAGACACTGGGACTAAAACAAAATCCACAAGGTAAGGGGAAGGATTTCGAGCTAAGGAACTGAACAGGCAGCAGGGGACACGTCATGCAGGGGGCCTTGTAGTTCCTGTTGGGGAATGGAGATTTCCTCTAAATGCAATGGTGCAGCAGACATTGGAAAGGTTGTAAATTGCAACACGTAGCCAAAGCCCAGAGACATCAGTATTTTTATTTATTTATTTGTTTGTTTGTTTAGAGACGGAGTCTCACTCTGTCACCCAGGCTGCAGTGCAGTGGCGCGATCTTGGCTCACTGCAACCTCCGCCTCCTGGCTTCAAGCGATTCTCCTACCTCAGCCTCCCAGGTAGCTGGGATTACAAGCGCCCGCCACCACGCCCAACTAATTTTTGTATTTTTAGTAGAGACGGGGTTTCACCATGTTGGCCAGGCTGGTCTTAAACTCCTGACCTCAAGTGATCCACCCGCCTCGGCCTCCCAAAGTGCTAGGATGATAGGCGTCAGCCACCGTGCCCGACCAGACATCCGTATTTAATAAAAACAGTTTGCTAACTCTCCTTAGCCGACAAAGGATGTGGTTGTTTTTTCCATTTGGATAGAGAGATGTCTTGAGGCAGTGTCATGCCAACATTCAGAAGTGCAGCTCCCCAGAACTTCCCAGCACTACTATCCCCAGGTGCCTGCCAGGGTCCTAGCCAGCCAACCCTAATGATAGTAGCTCACTGTTTCACCACGCCTGAGGAATCCACAGTTGTCAGCTGTCTGTATCTTATAGTCGCCTTCATCTTGACAACGGCCTCTTCCTCCCCGGACACCCGGAGGCCTGAAAATGGCCATCGGTGGCGCCGGGAATGAGAGGAGTCTTGCAACAAGAAAAAACACCTGGAGTTAGCAAGTCATCACCCTTATAATGTTTTAAGCCTGTGCAGTAAGTTTTTAAGCATGTGCAGTGAAAAGGCAAAATGGTTGAATTTGATCAGCATCTAACCTTCCTGTGGGGGCGCTGGACCAGAAAGGGAGAATTGACCCTAAAGAGCATGCGCTGGACTTCGGTAAACACACTGCGCATGCGGTCCTCCCGAATGCCGGCAGGCCACTGCGCCTGCGACAATTAAACCACAGCCGGCCTCAGAGGAAGAACAAAAGGAGACAGACTGTGCCGGAAAAGGTAGAGGGTGTAAAACCTCTAAAGAAAAGGAAGGGCACTTGATTTTTTCAAGTCGCCAGCCTGGTCCTCTTCTAGGTGAACTGTCTTTTGAATAAACTATCACTTTGCTTAAAATCAGTTCTCCCTTCTGCCTTAAACCTTGCCTTTGCCCCGGTGCGGTGGCTCACGGCTGTAGATCGCGCTATTGCACTCCAGCCTGAGCAACGGAGCCAGACTCGTCTTGAGAAAAAACAAAATCCTTGCTTTTATCTCGTTTGAATTATTGCCATCGAGAGACAGAGGAGTGAGGTTGCTGCAGAGTTGCCACTCCGGAGTTCCCCGGATAGCTGCAGACTTACCCGCAGGTAACAGTAGGAGTAGGAGTCAGCGTTATGGTTGTCGGAAAATGGGTGTCCTTCCATTATGGCCTGCGGGATGTAAACTGTCCACCACTTAGAAGGGCTTTTTTGGTGATGTCTATAGACCGTTTACCTGCGTGTACCCAGCATTACCATGTCTTTCTCTAGATACTTGTACTCACTTG